GGCCTGAGTAGGGACAGGGCTGGGCCGCTTCCCTCGCCCGGACCTGGCCGCCAGCTCTGGCTCTCGCTCACCCTGGCCCAGCTCCCTCTGGAGCAGCTGCAGCTCTGGCAGCCCCGCCCAGAAGCCAGTTGAGTCACTCACATCCCGGGACAGACACACCTACTGCAGGAGTCAGCTAGGTCTTAACTCCTTCCTGCTCCTCCCCCAACCCCCAGTCCTCCTGGCTCCTCCTTCACTACAGCCCCGCCCCTACCCGCCCAGGGCAGGCTAGAAAAATAAATTTCAAAAGCCACCTGGACCCTAGCCCTTAAACTCAGAAGCAGCCTGGTAGGAGAAAGGGCACTGGACGAGCTTGCTGGTTAACTCTGCGCGAGGCTCTGCCTCTGGGTTTCAGCTGCCTGTCTACAAAGCAGACCTCGAGCTCAACAGGGAAAGCCTGCACTGACTAAGCGCTCAGGGTGGGTGCTACTCTTCCTCCTTGCCCCTCGGAACTCCCTTCATCGTGGCCACCGCCCTCCGAGGTAGAACTCATCATTGCTATCCCCATCTTACAGACGAGGAATGAAGGCAGAGGGTGGGCAAGAACCTGCTCTAGATCACATCTGGGCAAAGGAACAGCAGAACCAGGAGATGAACCCAGGCAGCTTGCTTGGAACCCAGGCTCTGGAAGGCTCCATGACTGCGCCGTGCACGATATCCCTGGGAACGATGGACAACATGCAGCATGTGCCGCGCACTGCGCCAGCCTCTGCCCCCTTCTCGTTTTACCTGCAACACGACTCTAAGGAGCAAAGCCACTGGGCAAGGACCCTGACGCTTAGAGAATGAGGCACACTCCCAAGACCACTCAGCCAGTAAATGCCAGAGTCACACTCAACCTTAAACACTACCGTATACAGCCCTGCCAGACTGCGGAGCTGCGAGGTGCAGGTCCACAGTGGCTCTGGCTCACGACTGTACCCCAGACTCCTGACACTTAAAGTCCATGTGGAAAGAATGAAGCCCACCCAAGCCCTGGCTTCCAAATCCTTGGGACCCTCCCCTCTCCATGCCCCTGGCCTCACCTCGGAGCAGGAACTTGGGGCCTGTGTGTCCTTCAGCTCGGATCCAGTACCCCGCCTTGTACCGCCAGCACTGGGTGGCGGCGAAGCCAGGAGGTCATCCAGCCAGCGAGAGCTGCTTTCCGGGCCCACTGACTCGGGGGATGCCCTACTGGAGTTTTGAGCCTCTGTCCTGGGTTGGGTGGTCTCAGCCTGGGCTAGGGTCATGGCCTCCTCCTCAGCAGGCAATGCCTGCCCAGGGTCAGGGGCATCAGCAAAGAGGACACAGGGCTGGTCAGGGGGTGCTGGCTGCTGCTGCCCCAGGACCGGCTCCAGGATGGGCAGGGCAGCCTCCCTGGTGGCAGGAGGCAGAGGGGATGCCTGGCTGGCCAGGGGCTCCTGCTCCTCGTACCTCTCCTCTGCCTGCAGCAGGGAGGACCCAGCTAGGGCCCCAGTTGTAAGCAGGGGCTCAAGGGGGACAACTGGAGACTGAGATTGGCACTCCCCACCCCCCTCCTGGGTTTGGGAGATGCCTGGATCATCCCCCTGCACCCAGGAACCGGGCCTTCCTGGCTGCCCTGGAGCTAGGCCGGTCCCCGGCCCCTGCTGGGACGTTCCTTCCCCACTGCTGGACACAGTCCAGTTGCCAGCCTCAGCCGCCTCGGCAGCCTCGCTGGCTTCAGTGATGGGGGAGGGAGGTGGGGAATCTAACCGCCACACGCCTAGGCCTGAGGGCCGCGTGGGAAAGGTCCATTCGAAGGATTCAGACAAGCTCCAGTTGGACTCTGTCCCACTCCCAAAGGGATGATCCAGAGCCGACTGGCTCCCCTGGGTTTGGGACAGGGCAACCAGCGAGCCCCCCAGCTTCTCTTGGTCCTGGTCAGGAGGCCGGAGCACACCTTCTGAGAATCGGCGCTGAGCCAAGCTGACGGGGCGGAGGTCTGTGTTCACCTGGGCCACCTCCTCCCTCCCGGGTGGAAACGTCCGAGCAAGATCCGGTAACTCAACCACCTCGATCATGGGCTGGGGCGAGGCGGCTGACGGCCGCTCTGGGCTATGGCACTCTGAGACCTCGATGGGAAGGCTGCTGGGTCTGGGGGCTTCTGGGGCGCACTCTGCAGGGTGCCCAGGGCTGGGGAGATGACAGGGGTTCTGGTCAGGCAGGACTGCACCTGGGGACGCCTGAGTCACAGGGACGCAAGGAGAAGCCTGGGAAGCTGCAGGGTTCTGGGCTCCTGGAAGCTGAGAGTGCTGGGGAGAGCCACCATCAGGTGAGGGGAGACAGGGAGACTCGGGTGCTGGGCCTGAGACTTTAGGGGGGAGGCCTGGACTGGCAGAGCCCCCATTCTCTGAAGCAAGGCCTGGACTGGAGGGGCCGCAGAGCCTGGGAACCTGCAAGAGAAAGATCGAGAGCCACCACTCACTTCTCTGCTGGGTTGGGAGGCCCCCTCCGGCCCCCACATCCACCCCAGGTGAGCTGCTTCCACATGCTCACACCACAGCACACAGGAGGAGACCAGAGCTCAGGGCAGTAGGAGGCAGACCGACTTCTCACACATGTTACGGTCACAGAGGCCTCCCTTAGGTCATCTCCCCAGAAAATGTACCTAGCCTCATTCACATTGCGTCACTCCTACCATTGCAGGTGGTTCGAACCCTGCTCACTCACCCATAGCTCATCTCCACAGGATTACCAAAGAGGCCATGGTTCATGGGCCATGAACATTTGCTTTATAAAGAGAAAAGAGGGCCAGCCTGCGGCATGGTAGTTAATTAAGGCAGCTGGATCACACAGTGTCAACTGTGCAGTTCAAGTCCCAGACCTGGAGATTTGAGAAACACACCAGACACGTGTGCACGCATGCCTAAAATCCCAAAAGGAGGGAGAATAAAGGAGAAGGGATTACAGCATGACCCTATCCCATACGGGTGCTTTCTCACTTTCCCTCTCTCTGTGTCTCTTTCCGGTAAGCGCATACACCATCTAACAAATTAAAACAATGAATAGTTATACAGGGAAAGGAAGACTGGGAGTATGGCCATTTGAGCGTGTGCAAGTCACAGGGCGAAGGGGGTCTGCCTTAGAGCAGGTCTCTGAGCCCAGGGCACCTGCAGAGCACCTCCCGGGAGTACCTACAGGGGGCAGCTCCTCACCCTACTCTGTATCCACAAACCTTAGTACTACTCAAGGAAAAAGGAAGACCACAGGACTCAGGGTGGAGGTGGCGGATAGGCATGAAAAGCACCTGGCATGTAGTCATCCCGATATTGCCTCTTACAAGCCACCTGCCCTCCCTCCCACATGGTGGCATTTGAGCCTCAGTGTCCCCAGCTGTACCCCAGCTGTACGGTGAGGCTGAGAGCAGCAACGGTCGCCTCGGAGAGTAAGACTTGTATTGACCTCACAGTGTGATACTCAGAGAAGGGCTGGGTGGGATGGTGGGGGAGGGGCCGGCAGGTGGTATGGTGGCGGGCAGGTGTGATGGTGGTTTGGGGTCGCGGGATGATAGGGGGGTGGGGGCAAGAGGGGAGGCTGTGGCAGAGGAAGGGAACAGAGGAGGCATGGAGAACCTGGCACTCCTTTAGCCCTCCTCTCTGCCTATGCCCAGACAACGAAGTGAGTCTGGTTCTATCTGACCTGTGCCCTGCCCAAGGTCCCACTTCCCCTGCAGCCCTCGCCAATGCTGTTTCTCTCACATCATCATCCACTCTGTCTGGCCAGGGAAAGGGTCCTGCTTGTTGCTGAAGGCCTCCTTCATTTCCTCCATCCTCCTTCCCCTCTACAATATTCTAGTTTCAAAGCCCATGCCCTTGGGGCCAGCAGATAGCATGGTGGTTAAGGTGTTGGGCTCCCACAAGGTCGACCATGGTTTGAGTCCCAGACTTGGTGTCTTGCTTTCTCACATTCCCTCTCTCTCTCTCTCTCTGATCAATTGAAATAAAAAAATGAATAAAATGAAATAAAGAATTCTTTAAAAACAAAACAAAGCTCATGCCCTTAAGTGGAACCATCCACAACCCCTCCTTGTTACGGTCTCCTACAAAACTCTCATTCCTTGGAAGTTGTAGCTCCTGGATCACTGGGACCCTTGCCAACACTACTGCTGATTCTCTGTGATTCCAGCAGCAGCCACAGGGAACCTTCCAGCAGCCTCCTTCCCTGTCCCTTGACCTCCTCTTCCCCAGTGTTTCTGGGGTCCACCTTCTCTGAAGGTCATAGCCTACACCTGTCCTTATCAATAACGGCAGGCCCTCCTCTCTGGTTTGAAAACTCTTATCGAAATGGAAATGTACTGCCCTTGTTACAGCTTGAGACGTGAGGAGGGCATTGGGGCTCTGCTCTCAGGAATAGATTACTGCTGTGATCTTGGGAGTGGGTTAGTGATCTCGGGAATGGCCGTTTTCTCTGCCTTCCATGCTCGCCTCTGCCTGCCACCACAGGATCACCCTCACTAAAGGCAGCCCCTTGACTGGGACTTACCAGTTTCCAATCTCTAGGACCATGAGCTAAATGAATCTGTTTTTTGTATTTTTCTTACATTTGCTAGAGGGTGTATGTGCTTGCTAGAGAGAGACAGAGAGAGAAAGGGGAAGCGAGAAAGCACCCTCCAGGGGGGATGACCACACCACAATTCCTTCTCTTCCACGCTCCTCTCGGATTCTGGGCATGCATGCAAACGTGAACTGCATGTTTTCCAAGTCACCAGGTCCAGGACGCAAGCCATGCAATTGGCCATGTGGGATCCAGCCACCTTAAACACCACACCACAGCCGGCCTGAGTCTCTTTTCTTTAGAAATTACTCAGTGTGTGGCATTCTGTTATAGCCTCAGAAAAGGGACTAAAACACTCTTAATCTCAAGAGTTCTGTTTCGCCTTCCAATCCACCCCCACCCCCACCCCATCCAGCTCACTGTTCCTATTTCCCTAACTCCCCTATTCCTCAACCTTCTGGGAAGCACAGTCCACGAACCCTACCTCCTTCTCACCATCCCCTACTCCTCTTGTACCCTCTCTCTTTTTACCACCATTAAGGTCACTGTTTACACAACCCTCAACTCCCTCATTCCCATCACACCATTTGTCCTATTTAAATATAGCGCTCCACCCACTCTAGCTCAGAAGAAAAACACACAACCATGGTGGGGGGTTTCACTTCAGACCCACTGCTGGCCTGGAAGAAGTCCCAGGGCTGCCAGAATCCCCCCTTCCCTCACTCCCAACTCCCCCAGGCAATCACGTGGCATCTTTCCCCTCCAGCTCGTCCTCCCCACCCTCTCTCAGCTGCTGGCCTTACTTCCGGTGCCATGAGAACATAGAGGCCCCCAACAGAGAGTCCCCATCCTGCACCTCACACCGTCTACCTGAATATGAGCCCCAGGCCTTTGCCCCAGCTCCAACAATACACTGTCCTTGCTGGTAGCTAAGGCCAACCGCTCCTCTCTGCCTGCATCATTGATTTTTCCCTTTCTACTGGATCATTTCCATCTGTACACAAACTGCTCTAATTTCCTCTGTTAAAAAAAAAAAAAAAAAAACCACAAGCTTGACGCTCTATCTCTTTCCAGCTTCCCTCACTTTCTTGACTGCATTGTACACACTCACTATCTATAGTTCCTCTAGTCAAGGTCACCAGTGACGTCCCCGGAGCTAGTGCCTTCCGGGTACTTACCTTACCTGACCCCTCAACAGCACTGGACAGCTCACGGCACCCTGTTCCAGACAGGAGGCTGGCTTCCTTAGGCAGGACTCTCCGCCCACCTCGCCTTGCTCCTTCCTAGGCCCCTCTGCTGCTCCCTGGGCCTCTCCCCTCCTGCACCTGCACCCACTCCCTGAGTGATCTCAGTAGTCCTAGCTAATACCATCCCCACACGGACAGTTCCCTAGTTTTCCTTCCACACATTCATCTCCCTGGAAGGCCAGGCTCAAATATCCAACTGCCCACTCGGCATTTCCATGTGTACATCTAAAAGGCACCCTGATCTCAACAGATCCAGAAGCAAACTTTTCCTCTTTTCCCAGACCCTGCCACACCCTCAGCAGTCCTCATCTCAGAAAACAGTAGTCTCGCCCTTCCTGTTCTCAGGCACGAAGCCTGGAAGTCATCCCTGATTCTTCACTTTCTCCCTCTCTTCGTATCAATCTATCTCAAAGTCCCGCCCACTTCACCTTCACATTCTACCCAGAATCAACTGCGTCTCACCATCTCCACCATAGGCTGGATCATCTCTTCTAGATTATTCCAACAGCCCCGTGGCTGGTTCCCACCACAGCTCTTACCTCCCTGCAACCAATTCTGACCCAGTGGGCACGGTGACTACACACCTACGTCCAGCATGCCACTCCCTGTCTCCCTTCTTCCCTTCACTCAAGTCAAAGTCCTCATCTGTCCCCATCGCTTTGCAATCCTTGCTACCATCTAACTCCCCCCTTCTCACTGCGGTGCAGACATCCTGGCTTCTCTGCCAGAAAGGCACTGCTGTGGTTTGAATGTGTCCTCCGAAATTAATGTGTTGGGATGTGGTAATAATGTGAGGGTATTAAGAGGAGACCATCCCGGGCCAGTCAGTGGCTACCATGTGGTTCAGGTCCTGGACCCAGCAGCTTGAGAAACACAGCAAGCACACATGCTCTGCACACGCTCCTGCCCTCTACCAGTTGTAATGCAGAAGACCTTCGCCAGATGCTGGCACCATGCTCTTAGACGTCTCAGCTTCCAAAGCCATATGCTAAGTAAACCTGTTTCACAAATTAAACTCAGGTACCTCTGTTATTAGCAACAGAATAGACTAGGACAAGCACAAAGGCCTTTGTATTTACTCCATCAAGAATGCCGCTCCGGGGGCCAGCTAGGTGGTATAGTAGTTAACATAGTTGGACACCCTCTGGGCCAGCAGGTGGCATAGCAATTACATTGCTGGACTCCCACATGGACAACCGTGGTTTGAGTCCCAGACTCGGTGGCTTGAATTCACACCAGGCATGCATTGAGTCCCAGACCCAACAGCTTGAAAAACATCCCAGATTTGTGTGCTTACATACCCAAAATCCCGAGAAGAGAATGGTAAAGGGATTGCCGCATGGTCATACCTCTGGGGGGGGTGCTTTCTCTCTCTCTCTCTCTATTTC